TTCATCATTTTGTGTTCCTCTCATGTTTGTTCTTGTTATCGTGCACACTATAAAAAGAAAGTCTATAGGTTATCCAAACGAAAGCCATACCACATACATCTATTTTAACAAATATTGTGTATAATCTTCTTCAACATCGTTGATACGTTGAAATATGGCTTTGCCCCGTAGTAAATCGCCTTCCTATGTAGCAAGCACATTCAAAAAGAGCCACATTCTTCAGATAATGTTTTTTTTGGTTTTCTTCGGTAGAGTCTTACTATAATGACATTGGCGCTAAATGGGTATTGGCACGCGATGGGAAAGTTCCGCCAAACGCGGTGATCGGGGAACATGAAGGACGAGTGACTCTGTATGTAGCGCGTTTTTATACAAAAGAAGGACATCTCAGCCACGGAAAATTATATCCCCCAGACAAAAATAGCTTACAGCGGAAAGGAGCAATCGTCCAATGTTTATCAAGTTTTAACTGATCCCGATCAGGACTCAAGACTGAAATGGGCTTCGAGTAAAGACAGAGTCATTCCGGCGGGGGTATGCACGATCACAACCTGATTTGTGGTAAAGTGGGGGCTGACGAACTGTGACTTTCGTACTTTGGTCGAGAAATTGGACTGGTGGACAATTTTGAAGTACTGTGTGTGTCATCTGTCAATATAAACTAGTTCTCTTCGATTACAGATTTAATCCTTTTTAATAAAAGCTAATCTATTGTCTTTTCGATCAGGGAACAAACCAAAGGATGCAGGAATAGTTGTCTTGCCAGTAGAAATCGGCGGTTTTGCGAGACAAGAAGAGTTCGAATAGCGTTACGATAGATGCTCGCCTTCAGTAAGCAGAGACAATCACACACTCAAGAAGTAGAATCTGTAGATAAAAATTCCTTATCTCTCAATGAAACGATACCAACATTGACAGTCCGTTGTTTCAAAATACATTCGATGTATATTTTCCTTCTGTTAACGACTTTTCTTCAACTTGAATCGATTCGAAGTAAAGGTAAATATGATTTCGGTCCAAATCAATTAGCATCGAATGTTTGGTATAGACCAAAAGGACAGTTAATCAATGGTCATTACGAACATAGCTATTCAAATTTTACCTTATGGCCAAAACTTCGACAACATCTGATAAAAAACAATGGTTCAATATCAATTCAAGCCTCAGAAATCGGTTATATGACTAATGACATGTTAATGGCTTTTCGTCGACAGAATCTTTCCATCATTGTCGTTTCACCTGCATTTACTCAATGTTATGATGGAACATCGTTAGGTTTATTAGAATTCTATGGTCAATCGCCATCAAAAGACAATTTATTTTGTCAAATATTTCAAATCTGTGATCCGATCGATCGACAAGATCCGAATGGAAAAGGCTGGTTCGTAACAAAGGACGGATTTTCCTTTACACCTGATTTGTTGAATTTCGATGAGCGAATGCCAAACCTGGTTTCATATCTCGACTATGACAAACTAATCAATCGAACAGTAAATCCGGTTGAATGGTATTTTCCAAGTCGTTCATGGAACGACCGCAAAGCTTTCGCTCGTATCGATCCGTGTCCTCAAGCAGGTTCGAATCGCACCGCGAACTTAATGTCCGATTATGTCAAATACATTTCGATCATGAATCAAAAGTTCAACTCAACAAAAATTCCCCAAATTCAAATCAATTGGA